GAGAGAGAGAGAGAAGGGGGATCTGTACAGTGGTGTGTCCAAAACTCTTATCCCTCCTCCCAAAGACCATGGGTGGCATCTCCATGACATCTTTGGTCTTAACCAGCAGGAGACACAAAATCCCAAGATCACTTCTGAACCTAGGCCACCCACATAGCAACAGCACCATGCTGTGCTATAATAATACAACAGTAACTTGAACATATACTCACATTAACAAGAGAATGAAAAGAAATAAAACCTGCTAGATTTAGAAAAGCATCTGACTGACATTTGTGTTAATCTTTCCTTTAGAAGACACAGTTTGGATGACATTATTACAGGCTCTGTATGAAGGGCAAAACAAAATCTAGAAAAACAGCTGCAAGCTAATGTGTTTAATTTATTAAATGTATTTGTGCTTGCCGGCTAGATAAATTCTCATATTCATCAAAACATCCTAGTCATGATGATTAAAAAAAAAAGTATGAATTCTTAAATTATGTTTATGCCAGCACTAAAGAAACAGCCACAATTAGACACAATTAACTTAAAAAAAAAAACAATTTTCAAGTATTCTATTAAAATGAATACCAAAAAAGGGGAGGATTGAGAGTAATTGTCTTTTAACAAGTCTTAATTTATATATTATCAGATTTCACATACTGCATAGGCTTTCATGAGATCAAGGCTGCACACAGAAATGTGTAGCGGATATTAGACACATAATTACAACTGTGCATATAAATTAAGCATCTGGACGTGTTAATAGTCAGTCAAATTCCCTGCTGATCATTTCCATACTCAGATAACTCAATCCAAACATGCAAACACAGTAATTGTGTGAACAAATTAAGTGTGCTATTGCATGTGCATTTTTGCTCACCACCCTGGACCTCTGAACTCTTGAAAAATCTGACCACAGAACCATGAACTACTAGATACACTGTACAAAACAACACTATGATATATATGATAGCAACCAAAATATGATATATTTATTAGTATTTTGTAAAAATAGTCACTCTTACTCTGTCTTCCTTCTTTGGCAACTGATCACTAATAAAAGCCTTAGTACGTCTCAGGAACCAGCCAGACATTTTTCTTGCTAGCTTCTGCATGGCCTTTCGACCTGTTGCTAGCTCTCTCTTAGTTGCGGTGTGCCTCTGGCCATGCTCCACTGGATCAGAAAATTCCTTCTTGAAATGTGTTCTGCTACCTAAAAGTCCGGGTATAGCCCTAAAAGAAATAAAATAGCAGCAGTCATTTGCTGAACACCAATGCAGAATATCCTCTTCCATTGACTAAAAGCATATGAAATATTCCTGACTAACAGTGACAGATCTTAAATCAATCAGCAACAGTGAAATGAATAAATACGATTCCTGTATAGAATAGAAATGTATCATTCTACTTCCAGACAGTCAGCCTTTCCATATACTCACTGTCAACCTAAATTTAGGCACCTAAATCCCTATACAGGCTTTTCAGTAATAATGACTCAATCTTCAAAGGAGCTCAGTATCTGCAGGTCCAACGGATGCTGACAGGTGTTATGAATCAGGTCGCTATTATTTAGGAGCTTATTTAAGGATTTAGGTGCCTGAAATTTAGGCACCCAGGTTTGAAAATGTTGACTTTGATTCTTTCTGCTTTAATTCCATCCGGTTATACAGATATCAAATAGTTTAATGAATCTGAATCTAAAAGAAAACAACAGTAATTATTAAACTCATTAGGCCTTTCCTGAGCAATACTCCCTATTGGGTAATCCAGTCTAACACCATCTCAATGTTTTAGTTGCTTGGATTTTACATTAAGCTTTGCTACTAACTCATCCCCTTCCTGACATTTCAACTCAGCCCACAATTGCTCCGTATTTAAGATTTTTAAAATTGTAACTAATAAAAGATTACTTTGCACTTTCCATTCCCTCAGCTGGGGTCTTTTTTCCCCTCTTTGGGGCAGGGACTATCCCTTCCTATATATTGCATAACACCTAGCACATTGTGGGCACTACTGAAATATGAATATACACCTCTACCCCGATAGAAGCCAAAAAGATAGAAGCCTCTACCCTCGGGAGCCAAAAAATCTTACCGCGTTATAGGTGAAACCGCGTTATATCGAATTTGCTTTGATCTGCCGGAGTGTGCAGCCCTGCCCCCCCCCCCCCCGGAGCACTGCTTTACCGCGTTATATCCAAATTTGTGGTATATCAGGGTAGAGGTGTATAATTAATCATCATGAGGACACACAACACTCCTAGCTACATGAATGTGAGTTGTGCACTTTAGACAAAGCAGGGAGCAGAGTGCCCAAGACTAGGAGCTAAATAATTATTCTTATCCTGTTATGTGTGGGGTGGAGTGGGGGCACCACAGGCCAGGGAAAGAAAGAAAGGACCACTGGAAAGAAGTTAGGAGGGGTAACAGTAAGAGAAAAGAACTCCTCCCCTGCTTACCAGTACTCAAAAGAGTGAGGGGACAAGGAGAACCAGATACAAGCTATCCAAGACTAATGTAAAAGATGGGTTATTCCAACAGTTTGGGGGCAGTGCCCTGGTGGGAAACCACATGTACTTCATGTGACACAAGGCAGCAGACACAAGGCAGAAGTGTGATGGGATTCCCACTATGGCCCTGTTTCTGGACATTGCTGAGCCCCATACATCACCACCCTGTCACTTCTCTGGATAAGTCTCAATTAAAAAATTAACTTCTTACTTACCAGTCCACGACGCACCATAGTTCTTTCATGTTGTTCTGAAGAATGGTTCCAGTAAGACCTATACGAACATTGCATTTTAAAGCCTTCATAGTCTGGGTTATTTGAGCCTTTGGATTCTTGATTCTGTGTGCTTCATCTACAATGACAGCTGACCATTCTAGGCTGTGGATCAACAGTTTCATGTAGCGGGTCACTTGCATTACCTCACAAACATGTACTTAGAATTAGCTGTGCTTCCTCAGAATTGTTGACTAAAAACAAGTGACTTAAAACAAATGCCATCAACTTTAAAAAAAATTCAAAGACAAGTCCAAATGTAACAAGCAACACTTAATATTATTGTAACTGAAAAAAACGTATCACCTATTTTTTCAGCTAACTTTATGCATTTTACATCCTGTTGGGTGTACTCAGTTCACTATAGTCCATTTGTTCAGATCCTTCACACAGATAAATGCAAGAGAAATAATGTTTCAGGAGACAGAAACATTTGGTTTTACCATCACATACAATGGGACTTAGGTGTAGAGATTTTTAAAATTCTCTTTAAAAAAAAAAAAAAATCCTCAGTTTTCAAGATGGCAGTGTCCCTTAAACTGTAGTTTAAGAGGCATCTGGCTCCCTTTCTTGAGCATTAAATCAACTGTGCAATGAAAAATAAGCATCAGAAAATTGTACTAATCAAGTTTTTTAAGCTTGCACGAGGAGAATTTGATTACGTTTATCCATCTGTTATTCACATGTAGTTTATTTTTACTTTGCTACAACTAGAAATTAGGCTGGTTCCAACCCGGCAGCTAGCTGAGCCACCCACTATAGCTAGGGCCGAACCAAACTCAGGGCCATGAAAAATCACGTGTTGGACTGTGAAATCTGGTCTCCCCCTGCGAAATCTGGTCTTTTGTTTGTTTTTACCCTATACTATACAGATTTCACAGGGGAGGCCAGCGTTTCTTAAACCGGAGGTCCTGACCCAAAAGGGTGTTGCGGGGGGGGGTCAAGGTTATTTTAGAGGGGGTTGCGGTATTGCCGCCCTTATTTCTGTGCTGTCTTCAGAGCTGAGCAATCAGAGAGTGTAAGCTGTTGGCCAGGTGCCCAGCTGCAGCAGTGCAGAAGTAAGGGTGGCAATACCATACGATTGAACCCTTACTTCTGTGCTGCTGCTGGCGGCAGCTCTGCCTTCAGAGCTGGGCTCCCGGCCGGCAGCCGCTGCTTTCCAGCTGCCCAGCCCTGAAGGCAGCGGCGCTGCCAGCGGTAGCGCAGAAGTAAAGGTAGTAGTACCGCAATCCCCCCTACAATAGCCTTGCAACTCTCCCCCCCTTTTACACACACACAAATTCCTTTTTGGGTCAGGACCCCTACAATTATAACACCATGAAGTTTCAGATTTAAAAAACTGAAATCATGAAATTTATTATTTTTAAAATCCTATGTCCATGAAATTGACCAAAATGGACCGTGAACTTGGTAAGGCCCTAACTATAGCATTGCTTTCATAGGCTACTGCCGTTCCTATGATTAGACTTATCTTTTAAAAAATTAATTTAGCATATTGACAAGACTTTGTGGCCAAAAATATGAACTATTGCCAGTCACGCTATACCAGTTCTGTGAAAGAGAAAGACTGACTGTCTCCAGGGCTATTAACCCAGCAGCTTTTAATACCATTAACTCCACTTTTTAAAGATTTTTTTAAAAGTGAATTTAATAATTATAAAAAGGTAGCAGATTGAGAATCCTGTTTACTGAAATCTTCCATTTCCCCCACATAACAGGTACAGCATGGGTAGCAGCAGTAGGGAAAACATCTTTATTAGTGAGTCTGAAATATGACTTGAAGGGATCAACTGTAGGGATGACATGATTGTTCATTTTCTTTGGTATCTCTACTGCCAATGATATTGGGGGGACTGGTTAAGGGGTTGGAGGGATGTGGAAGGGAAAGCTGCATATCTAGCAGCAAGGGAATTATGGACAACTTTTCCAAAAGGAATTTGAACATCAGCAGCCATTGCATGGTAACAACTTTTGGTCACTATCAGTCTGGACCACAATAAAACCCCATGATCTAAAGGTGAAATGATTCATATCACATTACTAATCCTGAGTCATCCAGCCCCCAGAGAGATTTATTTAAATTCAAATTTATAATCCAGGTAGAAGATTAGTTCGGAAATAATGATATTTTGAGCAATTTCAAAATACATTCACTTCAAGTTTGATGCTCCTTTAATACAATCAAGCAGCTGCAAGTAGGGGCAGGCATATTTTAAAGTATCACGTTTTTTTCCCCTGTTTTAAAAAAGCCCTATTTTAGATTAACTTATTTTTAAGACTGAACCTTCATTCAGTACTACTGAAATGCTCTGAATCAAGTAGCCCATGTCAGCCTCCTACATTTCAAAAATCTACTGTAAGAAAAGTCAGATCCTCTCAAGAGAACATAAAAGAGATAAAACCATGGCTAGATGCAAAGTAGGAACAGGAATAAGCATATTTGAAAGTAACCAAGTAATTTCAACTAATCATTCCTTATGCTCATGCATGAAGAGATTTGAGTATAGGGATTACTTCTCCCTCTCACACAGATTCTCACATCTCTACTCCAAACAACAGTATTTTTAAACAAGACTAGGTTAACAGAGATAGCTAAAGGGTTCTCTTCAGCTATGATTCAATCTAAATTGTTATCAAGTCCTGAAGGTGAACCCAGCTGTTTAAATTACAAGACCATGTCAAGCTGTCAGCAAGTTTGTACTGTGAGTTCTTTAGTATTTAAACAGTCAATGCTGACTTGCTCGATTGATTGTACTCAAGGTCATGAACTACAGCAGAGACAAATTGGAATGCAGGAAGACCTCAAATTCTATAAAGTCCTTTGGGGTATTAAGAAACATAAATATTACAATATATCTCTTACTTAAAGTTTCCTGAATTGAGGGACCAACACAACCTGGCAAAAAGCACTGCACTGTGTCAACTATTTGCACTGTACACCAGAAGTTCATCTACTGTGAGGACTTGTTGGAGGGTGAGGGCGCTATGGAGACTTCTATGCTAAACTGAATTGAAAGACAGCTAAATAAATAAATATTAAATAATTTTCTATCATTACTTTTCCATGTAGTCAACTGCTGTAGTAGCCACAAAAATATTATATGATCATGAATGGGCAGTGAGGCTGTCTGTGGGATCACAGATGTGAGGGTGGGTTGTCTATGGGACAATTAAAGCATGGTCCACTAACAGTGGATACTGACCTCTGTCATGCAACAGGGATATGTAACCTAGATGCATATTGTACTACTAGCGATGACCCACAGCTTTGCCATTCAAGTTTATGGCAAGTATGGGGGTGGGAAAGTATGTGCACTGTGCTGGGAAATCTTGTGTTGATTTGTGCAAATGGCAAATGCTGCGGTGAGGAGCTATCTGTGTTTGGGGTTATTGTGTGTTCTGGGAGATTTGTGCTGAGTTGTGTCTAGGGGGTGTGCACTGGGAGACTGTGTTGAGCTGTCTGGGTGGTGAATGATGGCTAGTTGAGTTAATTTGTGTGAGGGTATTATGTTTGGGTATTTTGCATTGTGCAATTTGTAAAGTCAAAATGGCTGAGAACTTAAAAAAATACATTTTCCCCAAAGTTTGTGCCCAGAGCTGCTCCCCGTCAGGAGGCACCACCACCTTTTTGTTACCCCACACAGCTGTCACTCCCACCTCCTCTGATCAACTGTCACATTCCAACCACCACAGAACCTTTGGACTCCCAACATTCCACTTGGTTCTCACAGGGAATATGAGTGAGATTGGCGGAAATGTGTGTGTAGTACTGGGAGATTTTTGTTGATTTGCATGTGGGTTGTGTGGTGATGGGAGCTTTGTGCAGGTGGCAAGTGAGGGATATGTGCTGCGGTGGGGGCTGCGTGTGTTTGGGGTTACTCTATGGGAAGGGTTATGTTGGTGGTTTTGAAGAACTGCAGCAGTTGGACCCAGTAATTAACCATCTGGCTAGTCTCCCTCATTCAACCAATAAAATTGTTGCAAGCTAATTAGGTGTAGATATTAACTCTGATATGGCAATGGCGTAGGACTCTTTGCCTGACTTTGGCTGTATACCACATGGGTGTAATTCATAGTCAAAATGGCTGAAAACTTAAAAACTGGACTGCAACAGACTGCAAATCATGCTGATGATTCAACCTTGTGATATTCTGAACAAAAAGAGTTCACAACCATGATTGAAGCTGTTTCCATCACTTCACATTGATTCTATACAAATCTTATGCTTCAAAGTGACAATCCTGGAATCTTATTATATACATGAAAAAATGTGACTAGGGCAGGGATTCTCAGGGTATCAAGCCTCTGCCATCCCATATATTTTAGTGGTCGTTATGGGGGGTAGAATGGGAGAAACAGAGACTAGTTTGCCTGACATTTCAACATTTAATACAGCTATTTCAATAACTACCTTCTTGGGGGTTACCCTTTAGAAAGAGAGAGATTCTGTTTGGCAAGTTCACTGGATATAGATATACTGTATCTCTTCATTCCACCTCCCAGTAAGGAGTTAGATCAGGCGTAGGCAATCTATGGCACGCGTGCCAAAAGTGGCATGCGAGCGGATTTTCAGTGGCACTCACACTACCCGGGTCCTGGCCACCGGTCTGGGGGGCTCTGCATTTTAATTTAATTTTAAATGAAGCTTCTTAAACATTTTAAAAACCTTATTTACTTTACATACAACAACAGTTTAGTTATATATTATAGACTTATAGAAAGAGACCTTCTAAAAACGTTAAAATGTATTACTGGCACACGAAACCTTAAATTAGAGTGAATAAATGAAGACTCGGCACACCACTTCTGAAAGGTTGCCGACCCTGAGTTAGATTCACAGGATTAAAATAGTTGTCAAAAAAAATTAAAACCAAAACACAATAGACTGTTACAAAAACAGTGTTTGCACAAATGAAAATTATAAAATGTTACATTACCTGTTAAGTTCATCCAAACATAGGCGAAGCGTCTCATATGTTGTTAGAGCAACCTCATACTTTCCCTGCTTGATACGACTCAGTTCATTGTCCTTTCTACTGCCATGTAAAATAGCGACCCTGAAATAGCCCCAAGTGTCCAACTCATCCTTCCAGTTATAAAGCACAGAAAGAGGGGCCACTATTAGGAAAGTCTAAAAACAAACAGCTGTCATTATACTGCTGCAGAACCCATGTCAAAAACATTGTATCAAGTGCTGTCATGCAAAAGTCAAAATAATGAGCATTGTTTTAGTATTTAAAAGTTTGAATTTTATTTAATCATTTTCCATGAATGATATCTATTATTTGCTTAGAGTTATATGAACTAAATAGAGAAGAGAAGAATCTGGAAAGAAGATTAGAGGACAAACTCATAAAAGTAAAACAATCTGAGTTTATTTACAGTGTGTTATCATCAGAGGAAACATTCAGTAAAATGGTGTCCAGAAGGAGTACTCCTTCAAAGCAATAATGGTAGTTACTCAAGTTATACTGTAAAGCTTAAAAAAAAAAAAATCTACTTCATATGGACAGTGAGAGTAAAACTGATGAAATGCAAGAAATGTAGAAAAATTATGACTGTAGACTAATGGAGAAAACACAAACAATCACTTTCTACTTCTACAGAATTTGTATCCACGGATCACAAAATGTTTTACAGATGGGAAAACAGAGGCACAGAGTGATTCAGTAACTTGTTCGATGTCAGAAAGCTAGTTAATGGCAGAGCAAAGAATAGAATACAGATTTTTTGTCTTCCAAAAGACACCGGCAACTGAATTATATAATTAGTCCATTAACTATATTTGCTACAACGAGCCTCAAAAGGCCAATATTGATTCACATTTTATTTGTTTTATAAAATGTATTTTAGGTATTAGCGATATTAACCCTTGCCAGAAAAATGCAAAACACTAAAATTGTTCGTGGTAGATACAGTTAGCTGATTTCAACCTTTTTACAACATGTATTTTAGTTCTATGCATATATTCCAATACAGTAGATATTCTCTGGATTCAATTGTGAATTTTTGTTTAATAAAGTATTTCAAATTTACCTCTACTGTTTTGTATTTAGTAAGCGTTTGTGTTAGTATGTTTACATGGCTTTCGTAAAAAGAAACATATGACTGCTAATTGGTACATGCCCTTGAATAGAACACAGGACTGGGAAACAGGACACTAGGTTCTATTCCTGGTTGACACACCTTGGAAAGTCACTTAACTTCTGTGCCTCAGTTTTCTCTCATCTGTACAATGGGAATAATACTAAATTAACCACATTTGAGAACTCGTTTAAAATACACAGATAAAAAGCACTATATAAATATTAAGCATTATTAATAATAATACCATAATCTTTTATAATCCTGATCCCATTACAAATGCTCATTCAAAGGATTGTGGGACCAACTCATGGGCAAGATATTGAAAAGCTTCCATTTAGCACATTACTTTGGGTAAAGGAACTAATCAGAACTTTACGAATAAAAGTATGTATCTCAGAATCCTATTTCATGCAACAATAATACTTATTACTTGTTTACACCACCCAAAAGAGAAATAAGGGTTACTTGTGTATTGTATACCATTGACACTTTTGTCATCATTTTTTTCTCTCTTTCTTTTCAGGGAATTGAACCACAAAGGAAAGTTTCTTGAAATCCACCTTGTCTAAACTACTGCATACAATAGGTTTCCAAAACACCGATTTTTAAGCAATATACAAATTCATTGTGGCAACAATCATCAAATAAGAATTAAAGTAAGACTAAAAGAGGCAATTCAAAAGTAATTTTACTTAGCTGAACATCTCTTCAGCTATAATCATGGACAGGTGTAACTTATAATGTTAGTTATGTGTCTTAGAAGTTCTCTACTCCCTCAACTTATGAACTGTGAAACTGAAAATATTATCCACATTCTACTCATTATGTTGGTTCCATACACATAGATACAAATAAAATATCAAAAGACACCTGCTACAGAATAATATATAAATTATCATTATAAGCGCCATTACTTTAAAACAGTGGCAAACTTGCTGGTGCAGTCTTAAAACATGGGGCCCATTAAATCAACGATATTAAGTTGCAGCTGATTTAATCCTGAAAAGAAGATGGATCCACCAACCAACCATTAAAAATATGTAAGTGTTAAGAATTTAAATAAAAGGTTTAAAGGTTTAAGATGGTTCCTGCAACTCAATCACCTCAATCAAATGAAAATCACCTGGGTCTTTCAATGTAGGCATACGAAGGTGTGTCTTACATTTAAAATAAACTTTTAGATAATTTATCCATTTGCTAACATTATAACAGATTATACAGGAAATCATATAGCCTCACTTCTAAAATCATCATCTGTCTACCATTCAACATTTTATAGCTTATGGACACTTCACAGATACAATAATGTCATTTTGAGCCATCAAAACACCTATCAACTTGTAACAGTCATTATAAAGGGAGCCAATAGCTATCCCTATGTTTAGGTTGCCTAGCACTTTGTTATAAAAGATCCTTCCCATCTTTTTTGAGACACACTAAAACCTCAATCGTTTGTAGCAGGATTTTGAAATTCAGAGGGAAAGCCCTTAGGCTGGAGAAATACTTTTTCTTTGTCTCATGAAATTACACTCTGTTCTCCTGATATGAACCATTTTCCTTTTCTTGCTTCCATTGCTCATAGGTCTTAATTACATGATCACATGCAGTTTTCCATAGGACACTTGCCTAATTCAGTGCACAGAAAGGACACACATGGAAGAGTTAAGGTTACACTAGCATTTCCTAACTTTCGAGTGCTTGACTTTGCAAATAATGTTTTTTAACAGTTTCGGTATGCGATATACTATGTATTAAAGCATAATCAAATAATATTTAATTTTCCTTTCACGGACAATGGCTTCACTATCTACTTAGACCATTGGCTTCATCCTGCTGAATTTTCCTATTGAATTTTCACATTTTGGTATAGTTAAATACAGGGCGGCGGTCCGGGTCTTCGGCGGCGGGTCCTTCATTCGCTCCGGGTCTTCCGTGGCACTGAAGGACCTGCCGCTGAAGACCCGGAGCGAGTGAAGGACCCACCGCCGACGTGCCACCGAAGACCCAGACCGCCACCAGGTGAGTAAAAAAATTAAAAAGGCACCTATATTAGGTGCTCTTTTTTAGGGCGCGGGGCCCTCTTAGGCACGGGGCTCGATTCGGGGGAATTGGCCTAAAGCCGGCCCTGGTTAAATAAATGCTAGACCTACATACTGCATTGTTTCGGTTTTTAAAAAACCGGGAGGTTAACTTGCATTATCTAAAATCCATGAACATCTGTATTTCCACATGCAAACACCCCAAAACCTGGTATATGCAAACATATTTTTTGCAGTGCACGTAAGTTTTTATAAAAAAACAAAACAAAAAAACACAGCATCAGCTTTTATGTTATCAAAAAAAAGTCTCTATCAATTAAAATCTGTACCTTTTTGGGGATATATGTTGGTTCTTTTTTCATGGTCCTCAATAAAAACTCTGGCATATTGTTTTCAATATCTTCACGTGTTCCCTTTTTGCATAGTACTGCAGCCAGAAATGAAATGACCTAGAGAAAGAATGCAATTTACAGTGAATATGCAGAAAATGCAACAAAACATGAATATGTCCTTCAGACAGCAGACATTCAGGGCACGATCCTGGAAGTGCTAAGCATCCTCAGCTTTTGCTGACTTCATCCTTGAGATATGAGCTCAACTCTCCTACAGGGCTAGAATGTTTGCTAACGAGTGAAGAAAAAAAAAACAGAGCCCTGAAAAACACAGAAGATGTAGTGCAGGAGGATAGGGAGAAATGATGGAAGGGGCATGCCTAGGAACTTTCCAAAGAAGGGAGGAAATAGGGTCCTTGAATGGGAAAACAGAAGCAGCACAGATGTGGTTAGTCCACTTGAAACTTCAGTCCAAAGTTTCCTCTGGGGAAGGGTTTTAAAGTGATGGTTGCCCAATCCTATTAATATGTATTTCTTATATATTTCATAGATAAGGCCAGAAGAGACCACTATTACCTGCTAGTCTGACCTCCTGTATACACAGGCCATAGGACTTTCCTGAATTAAACTAGAGCATGTCTTTTAGAAAAACATTCAATCTTGATTTAAAAATTGCCAGTGACAAAGAATCCATCACAACTTGATAAATTGTTCCAATGGTTAATTACCCTCAATGTTAAAAATGTGCACCTTATTTCCAGCCTACCTTTATCTAGCTTCAACTTACAGCCACTGGATCTTGTTATATCTTTCTCTGCTAGATTGAAGAGCCCAATATCAAATTTTGGGGCCCCATGTAGGTACTTATAGACTACAATCAAGTCACCCCTTAACCTTCTCTTTGTTAAACTGAATAGACTGACGCAAGGAGCTCAATCACTATAAAGGCATGTTTTCAAATCTTTTAATCTAGCAGTTTTCAACCTTTTTTCATTCGCAGATCCTGAACATTTTTTGAATGGAAGTGTGGACCTCTTTGGAAATCTTAGAGGTAGTCTGCGGTCCCCCAGGGGGCCATGGACCACTCTTTATGCTAACAACCACCTTTCGCGGACCTCTTAGACATAGACCACTGACCCCCAGAGGTTCACAGACCACATATTAAGAACCACTTTGATCATTCTTGTGGCTCTTCTCTGAGCCCTCTCCAATTTAGCATCATCATCCTTCTTGAATTGTGAACATCTGAATTGGACATAGTATTCCAGTAGCAGTTGCACTAGTGCCAAATACACCGGTAATATAACCTCCCTACTCCTACTTGATATTTCCTTGTTCATATATCCAAGTATCATATTAGTCCTTTGGGCCAGCATTGCACTGGCAGCTCACATTCAACTGATTATCCAAAATGGCCCCAAAGTCTTTTTCAGAGTCACTGCTTCCCAGGATACAGTCCTTGCTCCTCCAATTCTCCGAGGCTAGCACCAGGATTAGCTTTCTCCATTGGATTCAGGGACTGAACTACAGCAAGGTCACCTTGTTAAACCCCAATTGCAACACACTCTCTGCTGACTTCAGCTTATCTGTCAGCTTGGAATGTGCGTGGCTTGGGGTAATATGGGTATATACACTGCAACATTCTATAGTAGGTTAGAGGCCCACAGTCTGAGCTATTTTGGGCTACACTTCAGTTGTCATCCAGAAGAAACAGAAGGCAAAAAGCACAGCTATTGGCAGACACAGTTTGGCCCCAAGTCACATTTTTAAAAATCACCCAGGTATGATGTCCCAGGAACTGTGCAGCAGCAAGAAGCAGCTGTTCTGCCACTGCAGTGCTCATCTTTTAGAAGTTCGGCAGTTCCTCTACTGCTCACAGCAGCAGCCAGCTCCCGTCCCTTTCCTCTGCAGCTGCCTCACAGCTGTTCATAGCAGGACAGAGCTAAAGCTGTCAGCACCACAGAGAAGGAGGTAGCCAACAGGGAATGGTGGAGGGAGAGACAGCAAGGAATGCTGAGCTGCCAGGAAAAAAACACGCAAAGGATAGAGGTGGGTGGGGCATAAGAGGGAGAAGCCACCATGTGGGGCAGGAGAATGGAAAGCTACCATAGGGGCCAGAGGAGGCAATACAATTTTAGGCACAATTCTTCATATAAACTGAGGGGGCAAGGTAGTTCTGGAAGTTTGTACGCATATCAGTGAATTTTAATAATAGGTTTTTGGTGGTGATGGTGGTGGCAAAAAAATTTTTAACCCTTTCAAGCATAAACTGAAATTCCCCAGAAAGAAATAACTTCTAGTGGTTTCCAGACTCTTCATTTATTTGAAGAATTATCCCCATCAAACTTTCACATTTTGGTAACTGTGGCAAAGGTCTGAAAAAGGACAATCTGCCAGAGAAATCTGTTGCTCCTTCAACTGAAGCAGGAAGCAAACTGGAGAACAGGCAGCATAAGGAGGGGGAACTGAAGCCAAAAATATTTCACTTTTCTCTGAGACACCTCATAACAGATAGATAGGGGAGACAGAACCTCCAGAACCAATATAGTTTGAACTCTGTAAAATAAACATACATAAATTATTTTGTAAATCCATCCTGCTACAACAGACACAGCCATTTCTCAGAATGTTCTCTAATAACTATTTTACAGCACAACTACTTAGGTGGTCACAAGTTTAAGGAAATAATTAGGAAAAAATAAAAAGACTTCAAAACTTTATTCACTCTTCAGGCCTTTAACTTTCTTTTTAGCCTCTTTTCAAGGTGTGCTGGAAAAGGAATAGAGATCTTGCTACTACTCACCATGATCCATCAGCACCACCCCTGCTTCCATAAAGAAAATCTGTAAATAAAATTATTTCTTCATATCTGGGGACACCACTAAGATAAGTTAAAACTAGGGATGTCGATTAATCACAGTTAAATCACGCGATTAAATAAAAAAAAATTAATCGCTATTAATTGCAGTTTTAATCACACTGCTAAATAGAATACCATTTGAAATTTATTAAATATGTTCAATGTTTTTCTACATTTTCAAATATATGGATTTCAATTACAATACAGAATACAAAGTGTACAGTGCTCATTTTTATATTTTTACTACAAATATTTGCACTGTAAAAAACAAAAGAAATAGTATTTTTCAATTCACCTCATACAAGTACTGTAGTGCAATCTCTATCGTGAAAGTGCAATTTACAAATGTAGATTTTTTTTGTTACATAACTGCACTTAAAAACAAAAACAATGTAACTTTAGAGCCTACAAGTCCATTCTCATGGTTACAACAGTGCCATGAGAACGCCTGTTCTCACTTTCAGGTGACACTGTAAACGAGAAGCAGGCAGCATTATCACCTGCAAATGTAGACAGACTTGTAGACTTATTGTTTTATTTTTGAGTGCAGTTTTTTTTTGGTACATAATTCTACATTTGTAAGTTCAACTTTCATGATAAAGAGATTACACTACAGTACTTGTATGAGGTGAATTGAAAAATACTATTTCTTTTGTTTTTTACAGTGCAAATATTTGTAGTAAAAATATAAAAATGAGCACTGTACACTTGTATTCTGTGTTGTAACTGAAATCAATATATTTGAAAACATAGAAAACATTCAAAAATATTTAAATAATATTCTATTATTGTTTAACAGCACGATTAATCGCGATTGATTTTTTTAATCCCTTGACAGCCCTAGTTAAAACAATGTTATTTTAACATTAAATGGACAAATGTAAGGAAATTTAAAATTAAGGCTGCACTTTGCCCATAGTCCACCCCACTGTGACTACGGCGTAACAGAAGGTAATTCTACATGCCATATAGATTAAGGAAGTGGCTGCCTGAAATATGAATTTCTTTAATTTACATCAGACACACCAGCCTCCATGTAGGATAATATGTTTGGGGAGGGGGAAGGAGGAGTTTAAACAGTAGTTCAGAAATTCAGGATTTCATCAGGTTTAAACATTACACTCCTAAAACCAAATCCTGCAAACTGCTGCACATGGGCAGACCTCTATACCCATGGTGTCCCATTGACTTCAACAGGGGTCTGCCCAGAGCCCCATTGATTTCTGTGAAGATCTACATAAGAGCAGAGGTTCACCTATTCAGAATAGTTTGCAGGACTGGAGTTTTAATATACTAATTTAACCTCATACAGTGCCTCCTTCATGTTCTTGTGGTATTAAAAACCAACAGTATTTTCCTAGGGTTAATAAAATACTCCATATCCAAACTCTGACTTTGAAAATAAAACTGAGCCCAACTGATTTAAATGAAATTTAGTTGAGAAATGAATTGTCATCTTGAGAATTTAGATGCAATGTTACAACTGAAAATGAGATTTTAAGCTGAATTACACACACTTTTTGAAAAGGGACGTTTTAAAAATGTCAGGAGTTTCTAAGCTATAGCAGCACCGTGGGGGGTTGCTAAAATAAACTGTATTGAATAGAAGTTTAACAAATCATTTACAAAAACCAAGTTATCCATTATGGAACAAACTTTAAATTAAGCCTCAAAGAAATCCCAAAAGAATAAAATCTGCAATCTAATCTCTGAATTGGTCATAGGATAGAATGGTATTTCATCCCCAAAATGACAAACCAAATTATCATTCTGGGAAAGGCATCTTTCCCCATGCTGACAAGGAAACATTTACAGGCTGTTTCCTTACACACTGTCAGTTAGCAATATACACTATATACCAGGGTCTGGGAAACAGTGCAATAACATTTCCCACTGGCCAATGTGAAGGGGCAAGGGGAAATCAGACTTGGTTATAACATTTGCACTAGTGTTTTTGAACATTTCCTCATTATAATTAAAAAAAAAGTACTTCAGAAGTAGGGGGGGAAATCTCACTCACTGTATGCATTAGTATATCCTAAAGGAATCATACTGTAATTTGAGCCAGGGATGGGAAGCTCAGCATGTAAACAAGCATGAGGAGGAGGAGATTTTTACAGCACTGTAAATTAGGTTTTCTGATATGTGTTAAGTGGTTAATTAAAGTAACTGAATATACATAATACTTGTTTCAACACAGCAATGTTTTCTACACAAATAAATGAGACTCCTGCCTCTTTTGTACTTTCATATGCACCTTACTGCCCCTTCCTGCAGCTCGAAGTGCAGAGTATAAAGACTGACTTTGGGGGGGGGGGGCGGAGGCGGGGGGAGGAGGGAGAGAATATACAAGATACTCTTTTAATGATGCATTCTTCTTCAAAGTTGGGGTAGCAATTAGAAAGTTTATCACACTGCAATTCCAAACAACTACATAAAATCAGTTGTTGCAACATGCTGAGCTTGCTTGTCTCCCATCTATCCCTTCATAATAATTAATTATTCCATACAGTTATACGGCAGAGGAAGCACGCCACTCACTATCACCCAGCATCATCTATGTGCACCATTCTTGCGGGCAAACTGCTTGATATTCAAACTTCTAGGAATCCTGCTCTCTAAAATAGTCTATGCCTTGTATATCTGAAGGGATAGTCTCGCAATTTATATGCAGAGGTAAAATTTTAAATTCAGCTTGATGAAAGTACTTTTCATTATAATTATCAATGACATTGCACTTTTAGAATTTGTTTTTCATAGTTTAGATGGTATTATAGAGCATTAGCTAAACAGGTTGATCAAGATTAAGAAAAAAGTTTAAGAACTTTTTAGTTTATATTTTAAAAGCAAACAATAAATATAGTGAACATGTGTTATTACTTGTATTCCTTCTCCTCTGAGAGGGATTTGTAGAGTGAGCAGAATGTCAAAGAATGTTACCAACATAACGTTGACACAAGTCAACTGAAATATGATACACTGCAGAAACCCAAAATGGTTATTTAAATATTAGTGGTATTGAAATTGACTGCCAAATATCTTTGGATACATGTTTTTTATTAGATTGTATGAGATACTTGCAGTTTAGAATACAAAAATACTTCTACATCTACTGTATTTGAGTGCATCTGATTAGTTTCCTTTGCTCTCAACCACATGCTAACAAGAAACCTAGGCATGATCAGGTGCAGCATTATGCAAACAGAAGCAGTTCCGTTTTATTCAAACTGAGAATGTTATAGCACCAAGAGGAAGACACACATTGTGTGGTACACCTATAAATACTCCCCCAAGAAAGAGACTTTGCCAAATGTACACTTAGTTTATTCTCCCTTTTTAAAGAGAAAAGGTTTATGATGTTACTCACTTTAGCATTGTCTCACACTAAGGAAAATTCTCAGTTAATATTCCCAGAAGTGGGGATGGGGAGAATTTTACACTGGAGTAGATGGATCAGTGGGGCTCCGGCAGGAATTAGACAATGGGGGAGTCAGCAGGGGGAGAGAAGAGGGCATTATATATTAGATACTTTAGGATTCAACCCACTAACTAAATAAATAAAAGAAGTGGAGGAGTAAGAACCTCCTTCCAGATTAAAAATGTCCTAATTTCGACTGAATCATTGAACCCTGACGATCCAAAACAGATAAGAAAAAAATGCTACTATACTGTGTATCTTTTGCATTAACATTAGCTGTCATCTTTACTTATAAGAATAGTAGCCTAAATCACATACATTTCTGACTGGGAGACAACAATGGAATGAAACATCTTGGATCTTACAAAATTAATCTGGCTAGGGTCTCCAAAGTTTGGAGTATACTTGAAGTACTTTTCAAGAGCAGCACAAAACTGTTACTGTCTAGACAATGAATGAAAAACAACTTTAGCCACTCTGTGCATGTTAAAAGTGTAAAGCCCCATTTATAACCATTGTTATGATGCACAGAGAGTAATTCTCAAAATACCTAAAATATAAAGACAAACATTGGGACTCTAGCTAGATATACAATTATAACTTCTTAAATAGGTGCCTTTTAAAAATCATTAACCCTTATATGTAATCTATTTCATAAAGCATAGTCATATCTGAACCAATAGTTTAAGGTGACAAAATACCTGTATTGTTTTTCCAAGTCCCATGTCATCTCCAAGAATACATCCTCTTTTACGAGCATAGTGTCCATAGAGAAACTGAACCCCATCTCTTTGATAATCACGCAGATACCTATTAATTGTATAAGGGATACAGTCCCCATCTACAGATAACTCAAAAGCAACTGCAGGAGACGGAAGCCTTTGGTCAGGGAAAAAAGGCTTTTCCAAATCTTCATCATCAAATATTAAGCTATTCCGGGGATCTTTACCAGCTCTGGCTTTACAGAGTTTTGTTATTATGATGTTCTTTTCTTCAGACCCCAAAAATGATACAATTGCAAATGATTTCCCATTCTTGTCTGTTTCAACTGACTTTATTGTGGCTTCACACAGTTTCCCACTTTCAGGAGATGGGGCAAGACACTTCTCTCCAGCATGCCACCTGTCTAAAAACAAAAACACACAAAAAAAGATGATGTTGCAAACTATGTGAAAAAAGTGCTACGCTTGTTACGCTTTTGTTAACACTGTTCAAAGTATTTTATTAACACTGTTCTGAGAAAATACATATATAAATAAAATCCAAAAATGAAGGGCCTTATTTATAAGTTTCCTGGGAATTTATCTGGTTTTCTCTTAAAATTTTACAAATGCGAGAAAATCTGGAAAAAACAAAAACAAAGGGCAGCGAGTGCTGGGGAGGGATGGCCAGTACTCATGGGGATGGAACTCACCATGTAGCACTTGAGGAAACCTTCCACACCCTACAGTGGTCAGGAGGTTTTGGCTGCCAGGACCTTGCTCCCTACCCTCTCTTTCTGTGCCCCTGACACAGAGGCAGCCAACGGGGGTGCTGAAGAGGTGATCAGCAAAGGAGCAAAAGGCTGCAATCCGTGAATACTGGCCTCCTGATCCCACCGGTCCTTCAGCATGGCCCCCTCTGCTTCCCTTGCGCAGACTCTGTTTGGCAGGGGAAGTGGATGGAGCTCTGTGCCCTGGGGCCAGCTGCTACACCCTCCTGACCCCACCAGCTGTTCAGTGCAGCCTTGGCCACTTGCCCTGTGAAAAATTCCCAAGTCCCAAAAAAGCCAAAATTCAGTTGAGACCCCCACACACCCCTGTAATATCCTATATATATACACATCAGGAAAAGTTTCCTGTCAGGGTATGCCCTGTAACAAATTTCCTGGGGAGGGTGTGGAATCTCCGTCATTGCAGGTTATTAAGAACAGGTCAGACAAACACTTGTAAGGAATGGTCTATTAGGTAGCCCTGCCTTGAGTTCAGGAGACTGGACTTGATGACCTCTCGAGGTCCCTTCCAGTTCTACATTTCTATGATTCCAAGATCTCTTTCTTGAGTGGTAACAGCTAATTTAGACCCCATCGTTCTGTATGTACAGCTGGGATTATTTTTTCCAATGCGCATTACTTTGCACTTATCAACACTGAATTTCTTGGTTCAAAGCAAAAACATGTTTTGTTGTAAAAAAAGAGATTTTCCTAAATGTCTGTGATGCCAAAGGAAATCCATTTTGTACAAAATGTGTTGAAACATGGTACAAATTTTGATCATCCTCCAAACAAAAAGGCTCTTCTCCCATCTCCACCTCCTTGCTGCTGCTCTGAATCCAAAATGCATGTAAGCTTATATGTGCCTAATGTGATGGGATTCCACACGTCACAAGTCCCTAGGCATAATAGTGCCCAGCAGCCATACATGACTTTTTTTAAAGCACAAATCTGCACAGTATTACAAAACTGCAGCAGAAGCCATGAGAAATACTATCATGGTCAAGAGCATAAGCAAATTACTGAGTCTTGCACAACTTAGCTAATATTGCTGCACAATATTGTGCCTCTGGTGCTCACAGTTCTCCAAAACAGTAGCAGTGAAATTAAGACTGATTAGTTTCATTGCTACTATGCAGATGTAGACAACAATATTAAATTTCACTCTACTACTGCTATGAGCAGCAGCAGAGACAGGCACCTGAACTATTTGTGGGGAAGGAGCACCCAAAAAGTAGAGACTGGCAGTGAGGTACAGCAATGAGGAGTAGGAAGGCATCTTCCTAGGCAGCAGTCCTCATCGTGATTCCAATGCAAAGGTTCCAGAGAAATGAAAACACCCATCCATTTGCTTCTGCGCTCTCTTAAATGGCTCCATGAAGGGGTCCTGAGGGAGAGGAGAAACCTGTCCACTGGTCCCCTCTTAGGGTTCAACGCAAGAATCCATGGGAGAGGTAATACTCTCCTAGTCACACTCCCTGGCTCCTGTGAGATCTATATATTTTCAGGACAATTCTTTTAAACGTATTAATTAGAAATAGATTACAAGTTTATTTAATTACATGAAAAATATTAACACAGAAGAATATATCTAATTTCTGAAAGATTAGAATCTTTGTCTCATCATTACTGTTGCATACATGTGCTTGGAGTACCTAAAGAAGAGCACGCAGGTAAACTCCCCCACAAAAAATGTATGAATCTTCATGCTAGTGTGCAAAATTAGAAGTGAATCTAACCAACAAAGAAGTGAAACTCACTATATACAACATGCTGTTAAAAAGCCACAAACTAAAAAAGGGGTGTGTGAAATCCTGTAATCTTTCAGTTACAGTAATCTTAGGTGTACCATGTAACAAAAATAAATCTAAAAATTTGCAGTTAATGTGATTTGAGATGACACAGCCCTTACTTTTAAGCCAGCAAATCAACTTTTTCCAGTTACAGGAAAAGAATGGAAAGCCAGAAGATTGTCAGTAGTCTAGAGTGAATGAAGAAATTCTGCCTACAGAATAGGGATTACTGTTTATTAATAGTAATATTAATTATATATATTGTGTCCTAGTCCGGATCAACGCTTTGCTGCGAAAAGCAATGTTCTGGAAGATACAGTCCTTCCCACAAAGAACTTCAAATCTAATATGAAACAAGCAAACAAACATTATAAAGAAAGGGGATAGGAAGCCAAGAGTAATGGCAATGAGGCCATCATCTTGACAAAATCCAAGGTGGCAGTGTCGTAAAAAATGCAACAATCATTGCAGATTCACTCAAATCTGGTCCACACACAATGTATGTACCAGTATAACTATTTCAGTCAGGAGGAGTGTGATGATTATTTTTTTTAAACCAAAAAAAAGTTATATTGGTACTTTCCCAAGTGGGCACAGTTATACCAATATCAAAGTGCTTATATCCCTTTCCTGTATGAGAATAAGCTATACCATTATAAGCACTTTTATACCCATTTAGCTGCATCCATACTTGGGGAGTTGTACCACTTTACTATACCAGTAGAGCATTGATGCAGCCCCTTACAGTACCTGTTACTTAACACAGTATTACACTTGATCTTAGCTCATAGACAGCCAAGACATCTTCAAAGCATTGTACAGATATTTATTAAAGGCAATAAGTAACTTACCTCTGATATCGTCGCACATTTCAATTTATAACCACATATGTACTTGCGACATCCATGAATTAGAACATCCAGACATCCACGATAACAAGAGAAGTCAGTGAGCCCATTTCATATGCTAACAGAGATAGAAGGAAAAGGAGCCAATCACTCAACTTTGAAGGTTAACACCAATCAAGATGGGACTCAGAGAGCCTGTTGTGATGTTCTTACTCCCTAGATGTTCAATGGCCTATGCTTTGGATCCTAATAAGCTGCCCCTGGTGAACAAAACGCATGGGCTGAAGTGGACTTATGACATCCACTGACCAGGCAAGCATTCTTACCCTGCTAGAACATACTGAGCAACTGGCTAGATTTTTAGAGAGTTTAACATCAATAAGTTAAATCATCTTACCAATGATCAACAATGTTCATACACAATCATCTCTTATCACCTTTTCCTATATAATACCAAATACCAGGGCACATCATTTACTAAAAACTTCTACTCTTGTACTTCACAGATTTTTTTCTTACACAATATAACGTTTCAATCATCTTTTAATATATACTTGAGCTCCAACTTTTTAATAAATACCAGAGTACACACACCTCTTCTGGATAGACTATCAGACAAATAGGCGAATCAGACTGTGAATTAAACATAAAAACTTTCCAATTCAACTCTAATTGTTCTTACAAACCATATACCAAGTTTTAACTAGATTTTAACATAAGATAAAATAAAAAGACTACAGAGAACAAACAGGGCAAATAGAGACATTGAAGAAAACCAAATAAATAAAAAGCTGGACAAGTAATCTCTTCATATTAACCAATACTTACCTTGTCTTTGCCCTCCATTAAAATTGAACTGAGGTAGCGTGATCAGTTTCAAAATAAAAAATGTTGATAGTATTAAAATCTGGTGAAAATAAAACAGCCTGTGTCAAAATTGTATTTAAAATTTGAAGGGAAATCAATACAACAGACCTGGGACTATCTCCCTTAACATATACACACATTAGGGGTCAAGTCTTGCACTCCTTGTGCACTCACAACTCCAGGTGCACAAACGATGCAGGACTGGGATTTTTTATTACATTATATATAAATGTATTCTATTAAATTATTTCAGTATTTCCCCTAATTAAGAACCCAGTTCCACGCTTCTTCCCACTCCTCCCCATGTCCCTTTATCACGAAAACAGACATGTTTAGGAAGTAACAAAATGTTCATTGACAGCATAACACCTCCTCAGTCCTCTCCCCAATCCTCCAAAATACATCGTGATTTCATTTACAGCTAAATGTAGACGTTCTGCCTAAGCCCCAAAGCTCTCTCACTTTCTTGCAAAAGAGGGGGCGGAGAAGATAACATATTCCCTGCCATGAGTGTGTTTCAAAGAATATTAAAACACCCTTGGAACTGGAGATTGGTTGGAATGTGTTGATAAGGAAGGAATAGTTCAAGGGGCCGCGTTTGCAACCCCCCCGCCGTGCGGGGGTGTGGCTGGCGCTGGTCAGTTGCAATCCCCGCAGCCCTTGTCCCCACAGCGAGATCCCCGAGGATGGCGGAAGGGCAGGGGCTCCCCGGCGGGGGCTGCATGAGAACAGGACGGGGAGGGAGGCTGCTCTGGTCGGGGGGCTGGACCCCGGTCAGCTCCCCTCTCCCAGCTCGGGGGGGCAGACACCCGCCTCCCTGCTCCTTGCCTGAGCTGCACCCGCCTCGCACCGGGCGCTGCGACTGCTCCACTCCAGCCTGCGCCTCCGGGGGCAGGCTCTACAGCCAAATATCGCGAGATGTGGAGGAGGCTCTACGGGATTTTCTCTTAAAGGCACCGCAACGGCAGTAGAAGGGCTATTGGCTTCAGGAGCAAATAACGTGATGTTTTCAATTCTCGCGCTATGCGCTATGCTCTCTCTGGAAGGGCGGTGGAGTGTTGTTCTTCTGACGTAGGGCTGGGCTCCCTCCAGTCCGTCCCTCTGCCGCTGCAGGGATGCAGCCGGCCCAGTGAACCCCCTCCAGCCAGGGACTGTTACTGACACGTTACTAACTTGCATGGCCTCATTGTTCCTGCCCTGAGCGGCCAGCTGGACTCTGTCAGGGAGTAGCCACATGCACTGTCCCAGACACCACTTTGCTGGAGGGGGCCTGTGTAAATTTTAGGGTAGAGGCCAAAATGATAGTGCTATAGCGGGTAGGCAACCTATGGCACACGTGCCGAAGGCGGCACACGAGCTGATTTTCAGTGGCACTCACACTGCCCGGGTCCTGGCCACTGGTCCGGGGGGTTCTGCATTTTACTTTAATTTTAAATGAAGCTTCTTAAACATTTTAAAAACCTTATTTACTTTACATATAACAATAGTTTAGTTATATATTATAGACTTACAGAAAGAGACCTAAAAACATTAAAATGTGTTACTGGCACGCGAAACCTTAAATCAGAGTGAATAAATGAACACTCGGCCCACCACTTCTGAAAGGTTGCCGACCCATGTGTTATAAGAATGTATTAACTCCGGTATTCCCATTTGCTCATAGCACTCACAGTTAAAGTAACACTGAAAGTACAGAATAAAAATACATTGCTAGCTGGAGAGTCACTGCCACACTGGTAGTGTAATATAGTAGCACTGCCCGTGTGACATACTACTACTACACGATTTAAGACAGGCAGTGAAGACAGAATCCGGAATACAGGAGCAATGTACCCAAGCAGAGTAGGACTACTCAAATTGGAATTTAGCTAGGCTCCAGCATTAATAACCTTCATATAACTATTGCTACAAGGATATCAAGCCCCGTCAAATTATTTTAAACTAGGGCTGTCAGTCGCATTTAATGCATGCGATTAATGCAAAACAAATTACATTTTAAAAGTCACCATTAAGCACAGTTTTAATCACACTGTTAATATGTTTTTCTGCATTTTCAAATATCTTGATTTCAGTTACAACACAGAATACAAAGTGTACAGTACTCATTTTTGATTGCAAATATTTGCACTGTAAAGATAAACAAAAAAATAATATTTTTAAATTCACCTCATACAAGTCACTCAGGTCTACTTCTGCTTCAGTCAATCTCTAAGACAAATAAGTTTTACATTTACAGGAGATAATGATGCCCACTTCCTATTTACAATGTCACATGAAAGTGAGAACAAGAGTTCCCATGGCACTTTTGTAGCTGACATTGTAAGGTATTTATGTGCCAGATACGCTAAACATTTGTATGCTCCTTCATGCTTTGACTTATAGGCACTACAGTTTTACACTGTTTTGGTTTTGAGAGCAGTTATATTAAAAAACAAAATTCTACATTTGTAAATTGTACTTTCACGATAAAGAGAGTGCACTACAGTACTTGTATGAGGTGAATTGAAAAATACTCTTTCTTCTGTTTATCTTTACAGTGCAAATATTTGTAATAAAAATAATATAAAGTGAGCACTGTACACTTTGTATTCTGTGTTATAATTGAAATCAAGATATTTGAAAATGCAGAAAAACATCCAAAATATTTGTAATAAATTTAAATTGGTATTCTATTAGTGTAATTTAAATTGTGATTAATAGTAAGTTTTAAATCTTGTGATTAATTGTGATTTTTTAAAATCATTTGACAGGTCTATTTTAAACATATTAAGTTGTGCAATAGTTTCCTCAGGGCCAAGTTGGTAAAGTCAATGACAAAATTTTCATTGACTATGAAACCCAAATTTAGCCCTAAATCACCAGCACTTTGAGGTCACTTTTATGAATTGTGGCCCTCCTAAACCCACCAAATAAGCAAAACGTCAGTCAAGAAGGATGCCATCTTTGAATGAACACAGAATTAGATTCCATGACAAGTTACATGTAAGGTGTGTAACGCTGTATACGAGTATTGTTCTCTAGAACTGGAGGTTAGAAGAGCTGTTTGTTAATACAGCAAATTCCAAATTAGCAAGAGATAAACAATCATGTCTCATCTCATGACTTCCAGAATCATCTTAAACATATAGCAAATGATTGTTACTTTTCCCAGCAGTTAGCACCTAGTAGTGGACTGTAAGGTGTTTGGGAGCAAGGAAAGTCTTTTGTTCTGCATTTATTCAGCACTTGATACAATGGGGTCCTGATCTGTGACTTGGGCTGTAAGAGAGTCTGAGTCTAATGAGGGCTGATTTATACCATTTTACACATACCTCTGAATTTGGTCCTAAAAATCTTCAATAAAATCCTAAAAGATAACTCTGGGGGAAAAAATCAATACCTCTTCCTCCAATTTTTACAGTGAGAAATGAAAGTGACATAGTGTGGAGTTCTCCCCACCCAAAAATCTCCAAACCCTCAAAAAACAAATTTCAAACCCATATCCAAGGAATAGAGAATTAAACAAAATACCACCTTTGTTCCATCCACAAAACAACACTTGAGTTCATTAACTAAAATAATCAGTAGTTTCTTTCAAGAAAACTTTATAATTACAAGATAATACAATAGATAGAATGTCCTTTACCTGCTTAAATTACTAAACTACATATATTAGACCGTTTACATTTCCTCCTGCCATATCCTGACCTGGTTATTGACTAATGCGATCCTGCTGGGTTCAGTTTCTGAAAAATATAGAATGTTGTTATACACTGCTTTCTATGGACTGCAACTCTTTCATTGACATCTCTATGTGTCATACATTTCTGTAACTTCGAATCAGTTTGAGAAATAACACTGTCTACCTACTTGATGTCTCTTTTCTCCTGCACATGAATAACTGAAACAATCTAAGGGCACATCTTCACTACCCACCGCATCGGCGGGTAGCAATCGATCTATTGGGGATCGACTTATTGCGTCTAGTGAAGACGCGATAAAATCGATCCCCGATGGCTCTGCCTTCGACTCCGGAAATCCACCGCGGCAAGAGGCGGAAGCGGAATCGACTGCGGTGCAGCAGCGGTCGACTCGCCGCCGTCCTCACAGCCGGGTAAGTCGACCTAAAATACGCAACTTCAGCTACACTATTCACGTAGCTGAAGTTGCGTATCTTAGGTCGACCCCCCTCCCCCATAGTGTAGACCTAGCCTAAGTATATACCAGGGGTAGGCAACCTATGGCACACGTGCCAAAGGGAGCACACGAGCTGATTTTCAGTGGCACTCACACTACCGGGGTCCTGGCCACCGGTCCAGGGGGCTCTGCATTTTAATTTATTTTAAATGAAGCTTCTTAAGCTTTTTAAAAACCTTATTTACTTTACATACAACAATAGTTTAGTTATATATTATAGACTTATAGAAAGAGACCTTCTAAAAACGTTGAAATGTATTACTGGCACGCGAAATCTTAAATTAGAGTGAATAAATGAAGACTTGGCACACCACTTCTGAAAGGTTGCCAACCACTGGTATATACAATATTATTCCCTTGAAATAATGTCTATGTGCCCAAAATAAATTAACCTTGGTTCTGTATTTGGCAACAAGACCAGACTTCTCCCTTCTCCCCCGCATATTTTTTAAGGATCCTAGTGATAAGTATCCACTTAAATATTAGAGTTGACTCAGAAAACATGTCTTCCTTTTTAATTTATTGGGCAGTGTTGCTTGCCAGTTTTTTTGGCCCGTATTCTTTGTTAAGCTTCCAATTTACCCAATTATTCTTTTTTTTCCCTTCTTCTACACCAATCTGTACTCCAGCCTGAAATACAGAAGGTCGTTTGGGAATGGAGCAAAAGATAGCTGGTATGGTAGCTGGATGTATAGTAATTGCACTTCCTCCCAATGCAGCTGCCATTTGTAGAAGAATCAATAGTGAAAAGGGGATTTAAAAGCATATTTTTTAGAAAACATTATGGAACTAAACAAGCAATTAAAATAATTACTTCATGGAATTTGAAATGCAGGTCTACTGTACTGGGCTAACAAGAGTGGCCTCTGTCACGTTATTGACATGAACTGTGACCGTGTAGATCATTGTTGCACCCAAGGTCTTATAGTTGCACCAAATCTTGTACAAAGGAGGACAAGTAAGGTGTCTATAGAAAGGTTGTAATTTGCTATCTGTATGTGTGTATCATTTCTGTATTTGAAGTTATGAATATTGGCTATGTATTTGTATCTCAATGTGTTTGATTCTAAGAAGCCTCAGTGAAGCACTTGGTCAGCTTCTTGAGAAAGGGCTATTCTCAGTAAGTGCCCAGTCAAGAAACACTTAACTGACAGTGGACTTTGGGAGACACCAATCCATATCTGAGCTTTCCTGGGAATGTTCAAACTAACATGTAAACAATGGCATCGGCCTGCAAAAAGCTGAATCATTCATGGACCTGTGACTTGCCCAGGTGGCTACAAACTCCATCTTGTTGCTGTGACTTTGCACAGAAGAACAAAGGGGTTTCTGACCACAACAGAGAGAATATAAAAGGCCCTGGAAACCTCTCCATTTTGTCTTCAGCTGGCTCAAGAGATGGCCTCTCCACTCCAAAGAGATGCCTGAAAGAAACTGGAACAAAAGTCTGTAACTATGGGGGTGTGAGTGATTGCTGGAGCCAGACTAGGAAGGTGTCCAGTCTGTGAAAGAAGCTTCTTGGAACATCTCTGGGGGTTAGATTTCATCTGTAATCAGTTTCTTAATGTATTAGGCTTAGACTTGCGTGTTTTGTTTTATTTTGCTTGGTAACTTACT